ATTGACCTTTGACCTACTTTTCACCATGAACTGAACTTTGCAAATTTTGCTTCCCTTTTATCTCCAAAACTGGCAGAGATAGGTCCATAGTTACTATTGAAGTTGGATAGGAAGTCATATACTGGCAATTTACTGTGACCTTGAAATTGACCTTTGACCTACCTTACAATGAACTTAACTTTGATTGCACCATTTTTAGTTATATATATTTTTTGCATATTTTGAAAATTCTTGTTGATTGCATTTTTACAGCTTGTCAAGCACAAGACTGGTGGCTGCACCCCTTATTTTGTGTATGTGGGGGTCTATACGAATGCGCTTGCTCCAGCTGGTGGTACAATATTCGGAGGCGGTATCGCCTCTCTGATCCTCTAGTTTTTTTCTGTAGTTGCTGGAGAGCTTCATAGAGGAGTACTTTGATCAGAACCCCATCAGTCAACTGGGGGTGATAGACACCAGAAACAAGAGAGCAGAAAAAGTGACCGAGCTCGGAGGTGGGTAGAGAATGTAGAAAGATTTTGGAGTTTTGTCTGTGTTCATGTGGCCGTTCAGAATGAGCTATGTTGTCCTAGCTTATGTACACTAACTCCATGGGGACTCTTGCTGAATGGAATCAGGTTAATAGACTAACATGGCTGCTCTTGGCATTGAGTAGGATGGAGAAGCTAAGTTGGTGATTATATGAATATGTTGGAAACGAGGAATCGTGTTAATCTGATTAAATTTAGAAAGAGTCCCCATGAAGTTAGGTCTCTATGACAAAACAAACTGAAAACAAAAAGTGAAAGATTTCACTCTGTATTAGAATGTGGACACTTTGAACACTTCCTTGTCTAATTTCTCTGAAAACATGAAAAATTAGAGAAATAAATGAGTAATTTGAAATTTATTATTCATATTACTCCTACAGGTTAAAAAAAAAGATTCACGTGAAGGAGTGTTTTTTTTACAGGCAATCCCAGAAAACATATCCAGCTAATACAGAAACTAGCAGTGAAGCCATGCCAGGGAGAGCCATCCCTGCAGAACAGTTTGGAACTTGCCATGCAAACATTACGGTATGTTGCATATTTAAAAGGGGTATTTTTGTTTAAAAAAAATTGTCTTAAAAAAGTGAGTTTTGTAACTGATTTATTTGTCTGTGATATATCCATTTTAAAGCCTTAATACACTTACACATTGTGCTGGTTACACTTACGCATTGTGCTGGATACCCTTATACATTGTGCTGGATACACTTAAAGAGATGTCAAAATGACCATTTCAGACACATGCCTGGTCATGCCAGTAGAGAAATTCTCATCATCTATGGAAGTTTAACAACCTGTGATCCTGGGGACATCTATGAAACTGTAAAGGTATGGAAATTTATAACCCACCTTAAAGATGTTTAACTATGTAATCAGATGTATAGTTACTGAAATCCTTGAACACTGCTAATTAGTCATCTGAAAACATTTATTTTCATTCAGAATCTTCTGCCTCCCTAGAGCATTTTGTTTATGTTCTGTTTAAGTAGTGGACAGTTTTCAGGTTTTTAATTATTAATTTTTTAATAATATACTATAATTGAAACATTTTGTGATGCAGAATCATTGTTATCTAGAACTATTATTAGAAACTTTTTTAATCTGAAGAGAAACTTTTGAAAGATTGTTGTTTATCATAACTAAAAAACAGATTCGTAAAATATTGTTTCAATCAGACTGTTTCATTTTGTTTTCAGTCTTTGAAGGAGTTAAACATCAGGTGTTCCATAATTGGCCTGGCTGCAGAAGTACAGATATGCAAAAAAATATGTCAAGAAACTAAAGGTAATAAATAGCAGTAGCTGCTGTGAGGAAATATCACAAATTTGAAGAAAATTTGATTATCATATATATCATGATTTGTTTAGCATTAAAGTTTTTAATTTGTGCAATTAGAAATGCAGTTTTTATTCATTTATTTATTTATTTATTTATTATTATTTGTTTTAAAAAAAAATCCCAGATCTTTTGGTACCAACACCCACAAATTAACCAGCACTACCAGAGTCGATGAAAGTAAGTGCTAGGCATTGCTTTGTTGGTGCTAAATAATTGTATGATGTGTTGGTTAATTTGTGGGTTTGGTGGCTAATATAGGTGTTAGTGCTAAAAGATCTGTGGGTAGTGTTAGGAAATGCCTAATCCATCTATAAGGCCTGCCATACCTGCCTTTCTTAAAGCAATAGGTGGCGAAGGGGGGGGGGGGGGCAAGTGTACCTCCTGAATAGAGGCTATTCACCCGGACCTGATAAACTTCAAAATGTTGGAGGTAATTAACTATATATAGTTGTTGATTGAAGAAAATATTACTTTATTCTTTTGTGTGAATTAAAATTTATTGATTGTCAGGTAGCTATCATGTTATACTGGATGAGACCCACTTTAGAGACCTACTGACCTATCACGTGACACCACCTCCGGCCAGGGTAAGTCCAGGCTTTGCTCTAGTAGTCTATAAGGTGTCCCTCAATATCATTTCAAAACAAAGTCAATAAAGATAATTACTGTCATGGAAATGTGGAAATGACAAAGTATGAGCAAGTCTTGACAATCAGCAGTGGAGGTTTCACACAATACTGATGTTGAACAAACTCAAGATTTTATTTTAACTGCACCCTACATATTGCATCCCCAAAATAACAATTTTTTACTGTTTATTATCAAGACTTGCTAAAGCTGCCAACCTCAAACTTTTTCACTCCATTTGCAGGATTGGTGAAAGTGAATTTGATCCCTATTCATATAATTTATGTTGCTGTAATTGTCACAAAATGCCTTTTCTGGTAAAATTTCAAAAAGTAACGGATCGTGGGTGCATTATTCGTCAATATTTGATAAATATATACACCTTAGCTCCTGTAGTTATTTTATAATTATTCAGATAACAAATGAATGTTGGCCTAGTGTGTATGGAATATCTTTTTTTTTTTCTTCCAGAATAATGCAGAATCTTCTCTAATAAGAATGGGTGAGTAAATCTTGTTACAAATTCAGAGGTCTAAAAAAAATTAAAAAAAACACCAGCTAGTATATTTATGCATATATGTATCCAAAACACACAGTCTGTTTTATTCAATATTGACCACTTGAGACCTGTTTCTAAGTACTAGGAGTAGCATGAAAAATTGTACATTTGCCCTTTTACATTTTTGGATACAGATATTGAATGTATCTGTGTATGTTCTGATCAGTGTGTATGCTTTCCTCACATCTGTCGTTCACCTTTTAACTGACAAAATAATTTTTGCTTTTATAGAAATATTTTGTGTGGCTTTGCTTGGTAAAAAGGCAAGATCCTTATGAAAAATCAGCATACAGTAATTGGTTTCCTGTTATGTGCATGTCTATTTGCCTTCCTTTTAGTTTGATATCTAATATAATCACCATAGTGATAGTAGGCAGGTGTCAAAAAAAGGTGTAAATAAAAGTGCCAGATGAGGGCATTTTTAGTACTGATATATGTAAGCACGTGTTTTTCTCCATCATTAAAAACGTGACTGAAAACAGCTTCAAAAAGTTGCATAATGCAGTATGAAGGTTTGTAGTGGAGCCAAACACTACAAGAGTGGACATATATAGCTAAATTTAAAACTAAATTTCAAACAAAGGGGAGGGAGGGGCGTCCTCTATTTGAATTTAGAGCATAGAAAGTACATATTGAGTGGTATTTATTCATTTATTCATTTTTTTAAAACCTGCACCCTTTAGCCTGCCAGCTTTAAATGTAAACATGTCGTATTATTATTCAGTTTCACTAAAAGCATATAGGTTACACAGGCTACATCTGCATTTGGTTCCTTCCCAAAGCCTTTAAAAGTGATTTAAACTCATTTGAATTGATGCTTTGCTTTAAGTCATTGGAGAGATCATTCCATATTTTTGGCCCAAGATATGACAAGGATTTTTTGCCGTATGTCATTGTGTTAAATATGGGTATACTTAGTATGAACTCACAGGCTCTCTGATTATGATAAAGTCACCATAAAAGCCAATCTTATCCCTATGGTGTCTCATCCTTTGCTGTAGAACAGTATAAATTATCTCACCAGTCTTTCTGGTGATGATGATGATGATGATAATTTCAGCATAAAAAGCCACTATGATCCTTATGGTGCCCTCCCCCCCCCCCCCCANTCTCCTTAATGGTGGCCGTTTTGGTCAGAAGGCCTTTCGTGTCAACACTGAAAATACTGATGCATTTCTCTGCATGCTGTGCTATGGCAATGTGGTTGTTCAAGTTCAGTGCAACACCCTGAGGGGAATGAATGTCCAGGGACTGTTGTTGTTCCCATTGTGATGTTAGTGACATGACAGCATTGTTACCGATGTCAGTGACAACTGTGGTGCCATTGGGAAGATGGCAGATGCCAATGGGATTCTTCAGTGGGGTCCCCGAAACGTCAACAATTTCTCTCTTCAGCTTCCCTTGTGAGGTGAAGATGCACAGTTTCCCTGGGTTTTCATTCACGATCACATACTCGTTATCTGGGCTGACCGAGATACCAGTCTGGAAATTACATCCAGAATCAAACTCTAAGATGCACTCTGCTTTGGCTTGCAGTTTTGGTGAAGGTGGAGGCTGCATGGGAACTTGAACCTCTTCCCAATCAATTTCCACCTTCCCAAAGGCCATTCCTGTTTTTAGGTTGGTCTCAAATTCCTGACTTGTTTCAAGTTTGAATTGTGGTTGATTCGGGAGGCTGTCATCAAAGGATGTGTCTTGGAGATTGTCGAGTCGTTGACTGAGCTCAGATTTTAAAAGGAGCACTTCCAGGGGGGAACCTTGCTGGAGAATATTTTTAATGATCTGCAGCGCATCTGCAAGCAAAGTATGGTTGCCATGGTGATGGTCACGTGACGCAGCCAATATTGCCTGTTGTTTGCAGACCTCATTATCAATTTCTTCTAGAAGTTGATTTTCTCTAAATAACACGATTTTCCTGAGACCCTCTGCCCTCTGGTGTATAATAGCCTGGATTTTCTTTTTACTCTCCTCAAGCTCTGCCGCCATTTCAGTCAGCCTCACAACTTTTTCACTCTCATTGTCATGCCTTCTTTCTAAATCCTCCACTTTGTGAAGCAGTTTGGGTTTGATTACTTCAAAAGCTGCGGGAAGTGAGAGAGATTTGTGGTCATCATGGTCCAGTGCCTTGCAGTCCCGACAGATTGGTGTCTGGCAAGGCAGGCAGTAATACTTCAGCAACTGGTCCGTGTGGGTAGCACATGGGATGACCTGGTTTGCTTGGATCTCTTTTTGGTACTCTGCCAACCCTAGCTGCTGAAATGTGAGGATTTTGTGATCTCTTGTTAGCTTTGTAGCGCAGTGGTAAACTGCACATTGGGAACACAAGTAATCCTGGCAACTGATACATTTTGAAGAGGCTTCATTCACCTGAAATGAAACATGAACATTCTTGGTTATAATGGTGAAGAGTGACCACTTTGGTTCTTATTTATTCATTTACTCTTTAATTAAAATTATTTAATTTAGTGATTAATTTATTTCCGCACTACAACATTTTAAATGACTCTGGCCCAGCAGATACAATGTTTGTATAATCCAATAATACTGCAACATACTAGCTTTATAAGTGAATTTAGCAGAGACTCTGGACTTAAAGGGATAATAACTCTTCGTATGAGACCTATATTTCACAAAAAAAAACCTTGTGAATAGCTCATAGAAATATAATATATTCTGTTTTACCACAAAAACAGCAGTTATAGCTTTTATTCTGATATTTGAACTTGTCTTCAGACCACGTGACCTCCATTGATGTCTATACTCTGTTAAAATCTCTTAAGAGATTTTAACAAAAAAACAAACTTTTTAGAAAAAAAACAGGGGCTAACTTTGAATGTAAAAATGGATTCATTAACCATTGGTAAGTATGGGAAAATTGTTGTTTACTCCAGGAAAATTCATTTTTTGGCCGAAACGAAGAGTTATTATTGCTTTAAGATCGGGTTAAGGCTATGGACAGGGTTAAACAAAAACTCCTACTAGTACATGACTGTCTTTTCATATACCCTCTACCAGGGCGAGTGATAGATTTTTTTACAGATATTCACAGATATGTCTCTAGCAGTTGAGTGACCATCTATCTATCTAGAGACATATCTGTGAATATCTGTAAAAAATCTATCACTCACCCTGGTAGAGGGTACTTTTCATATATGTTTGGGATAAAAAATGCATCATTGGTTTCTCAAATTTTTCCTTTTGCTTAGCACCCAAAAACACCTTTCGATGCCTGTATAAGGGGCTCAAAACTCCGAGACAAAAATATTTAAACCCAATTGATGGCCCTGGACTGAAGCCCATATACTTGTTGTCACTTATACCAATTTCCTGATAAGATCTTGTTCAGGGATGAAGTTAACGCCCTATACCTATTGCTAGCTCACCTCAAAATAGAAAGATGTTAAATGGACGGTAAATGCTGTGAGGTGCTTTTGCTTAGCAACGAGATGTAAAGTTAAGGTGAATGTATTTAATGTTTCAGGGTATTGTTATTGTTATTAAACAGCATAAAGGTAGGCATTATTGAATAATTAGAAAATAATAAAGAAAATTAATTAGAAAAACCTAATTTTCATTTTCTTTCTATCACAAATCCTGCTTGCTACCTTATTAAGGGATGGAATGATATGTGTTTTGTAAGAATTTTTCATGTTTGATATTCATGAACAGTAAATAATGAAAGTTTTATGATTATTATGTTTCTCAAAAATTTTTATAACTTAAATATATATAGCACTTTGCAACATGTACAGTCACAGTGTTACTGATATGTTAGAAAAGACGTGAACTGAAACAGGATTTTACTATGCCAGTAACACAAACAATTACAAAGTTTCTTGGGGTCAACACATTGTCACTGGAATCATGTGACTGATTTGACAGGCCCTGTTTTTTTTTTTTTTTTTTTTTTTTCCCTCGTTGCTTGATATAAAGGATAATATTATTGACATTTTAATCTAGTGTGCACCCCTTCTCCATCATTAATTCCTTAAAACTCTGTGTATAAGGTTTATGTGACTGCATCAATTCCAATTCACTTTTGTTGGACTCCGTAATTAGCAGATGACAGTTCAATTCACGTCTGCCACATTGTAAAGGCTTGGTTTATAATCCAGTAATTTAACCCTTTGAAATGTTATCTGTTATTTGAATTGACATGAGGTGATATTATGTTAGGAGCTCTGTATTTAAAGGGCAATTTCTGAAGTCTTTTTAATGAGGTGTACTCATGAGCTATGAAATATTGACTGAGTTCCTATGTAGGCACCTTTTCCTTTATATACTATTGTGTGTTATTTCTCCAAACCCGTATACATTGCCTTTTTTGTTGACCAGCTGTGTGACGTCACGTGCAATCCACCCATCAAATGTCTAGGTTTACTGAACAGATTTTACCATCTTTGAATAAAGTTTGTTGTTGTGGTCGTTGTGGATGATGATGATGATGTTGTCTATATGCATATGTACAGTGTATATATAGAGAAACCTACCTCCCCTCCCTTTTTCACTATTTCACAAACTACACACTTTCTCTGTCCCGAAGCAGGGGATTTGTTGTTCAGTACACCTTCCACATAATAGTTTCTCTTGAATCCTTCCTCCACCTTATCAGCGGGCATTATAACCTCGTGTTTACACACACTGCACTTGAATGGCAGTGCCCGACCCAAATCTCCTTGTGGGAGAGTAGAAGCCAGACAGTGCCTGCAGTATGTGTGTAAACACGGAAGGATGACAGGATCTGTGTACTCCCGTTTGCACACAGGACATTTGAGAAAATCTGAGGTTTCATCTGCTGAGGCGGCTGCATGTGCCCCTATGCCTCCCTTGCTCTCAGAAGCTGCCATTAACTGATCTTCCTTTCTGTTTTGCTGTGAACGACCATGACCTCTGTTGACCTGAGATGTTGACCTAGATTTGGCTTTGTGGTAGCATATCTGAGCCTGTAAACAATGGCTGAATAATTATGCCATGTTGGATAGATAAAATCACAGTATCCCTCTCTATGTATATAACAAAACTGTTTTCAATTTATTAATAGATTTATTTGTCTGTGCTCCGTTTTAAATTGATAAAAATAAATGACTGTGTGATCACATATAGGCTGCACCTTGACACAGTATAACTATTTGGTTTTTTGCTCCAAAATTATTCATAGAATTATTCATACATGTATATTATTCCAGTTTGTGGAACAAACTTAACAGTTAATCATGATCAGTGGCTATAAATATTATAATATTAAATATTAATAATATATTTATAATTTAAAAAGTCCACCCATTAGCAGAAATTAATTGCCAGGAGTTGATAGAAATTAGCATTTATAATTTTTAATGATAAAAAAATAGTATAACACTACAGTAACTCCTTTTTGAATACCCAGTGCCTACAGCATTTAGTTTTATAGCTCTTTCAAAAGACCATAAATCTTTTGCACTCAGTGGCATATGAAAATCGAGAATGAGCTGAATGTCAATAGCTATACTAATTGCAGTGCTGTGGGCATCAGCTGGTTCTATACAAAGTATTTGTCCTACATAATGTGTATTTGTTGCCAAAATAGATAGTCTGAAACGTGCAATGTGTTGATATAACGCACTGCCAAATAAGATATTGAACTTCATCCTAAATTCATTTTCAAAAGTGACACCAAATTAATTATATGAAGTTCATGACAAATTTGTGAGATTTATATGATGAAGAAAAAGGTATTATTTTGATAAAAAAATGCTTTCTGTTTGGAACCAACTTTTTATGGGACTGTATGAATTAATGGTGAGAAAAACACTTGAATCACTCTCAGCCACCTTAATATTATTTTGTACTGTTATATTATGGTAATGGCTTGATCATCATCCTGGAAAATTATTAATTTCACAGATACTGTATTTTTATAAGTAATAAATTCTTAAAATAAGAACATTCCTATTGAGTGGTAGGAACAAAATTGAAAGGCAGAATACTAAATAGTTCTATGCTAAACAGTAAAAACACCAAATTGCTAGAAAGAAATGTATTTTTTAATAATTCCTAAATTATGTATCTGAAAAATTGATAATTTTCCTTGGTTGAAACGATATTGGGGCCATTACCATATATCTGTTATTTCAGTTATTCATAGAGACCTCCCACTTAGGCTTCGTTCACATGCAATGTCTATTTTCTAAATTCTATTTTCTATTTGCGGTATGTCTTATGATCACGGTCTGTGGCCTGAATATCCCGCCGCGTAATTACTGGCAGCGCGAGCCAGTTACTATAAGTTACTATAAGTAACTGGCTCGCGCTGCCAGTAATTACGCGGCGGGATATTCAGGCCACAGACCGTGATCATAAGATAGCGCAAATAGAAAATAGAAATTAGAAAATAGACATTGCATGTGAACGAAGCCTTAGACACATTCTAAGTAGGATTTTGCACAAACATGTTGAACCAGAACTTTGTCCAAATTGTAGTTTGTCTGGCTGAGATTGAAACCAAAGCAGATAATGTCAAACAAATTGAAGTGATAATTATTCTCTCTGTAATAATTAGCAGTCATTCATTTATTCACAGGCTAAATCTCAGTTTTCATACTGTTAATGAAGAGCTACGGGTTTCTATTTTTTCCTATTTTCTGAGATATTTCTATTTTTCTTATTTTATTAAAAAACAAACTCCAATTTTCTCTAGTTTATGGTATTGAAACAATTTATTGTTTTTTTTTCTATTTTCTTTCAGCTTCTGACCTTTGACCTACTGCCCAACTTGAAATACACTTTTGCAAATATTCTGGCCCTTGTGTCTCCAAACCAAGAGGAAATTCACATATAGTTATTTATAATTGAACTTGAATAAGACGTCATGTCAAATCAAGACTTTAAAAAATACAAAGGGATATTTTTTCAAAATATATCTTGAAAAACTGCCTATTTTATTTTATTTTATTTTATTTTATTTTTCATTTCAGTCACCTGGACAGCCAGACATTCCAAGGGTTTCGCAGTGGAGGATATTTCTGTCCACAGTGCAAGAGTAAATACTGTGAGCTGCCAGTAGAATGTAAAGCCTGTGGTGAGTCCATTTCTTTGTTATCCACCTCAGTCTGCCTAATATCCGTCTGTTTGTTATCCATCCACCTTCTTCATATCCATCTGTTGTCCACCTTTCTGCCTAATATCCATCTGTTTGTTATCCATCCTCATATCCATCTATCTGTTGTCCACCTTTCTGCCTAATATCCATCTGTTTGTTATCCATCCATCTTCATATCCATCTGTCTGTTGTCCACCTTTCTGCCTAATATCCATCTGTTTGTTATCCATCCATCCATCTGTCTGTATTCTCCCTTTCTGTCTGGTTATCCATCAGTATGCTGCCCACATGTCTGTCTCATGTCCATCTATCTGTTTGACCTGTCTGACTGGCATATATCCGCCTGTTATTTACCTGTCTGCCTGGGAGTGGTCGCTCTGTTCATCTTCCCCAGCTGGTTTCCATTCTCCCAGCTGGAAAGCTGTTCTCACAGTGCAGATCCCTTCTCCCATCTGGCATAATTCAATCACGTGGGAAAATGACTCAGTGAGATGAACAGCTCAATCTGCCTGCTGTAACAATGGCAAGGGAGGTACCAAATAAAAGGAACTAAACATATTTTTAGAAATTTGTTTTACTTGAATGCATTCATGTTTCAATTAAAGGTTATGTAATCTGTGTGAAAAATTAAAAGTCGTCGTGAGTTGAGAGGGGTCCGTGCTCTATTAGAATGGCTATTCATGAAGCGTCATTTTTTATATATTTTCTAGGGTTAACACTAGTTTCGGCTCCACATCTGGCCAGGTCATACCACCATTTGTTTCCACTAGAATCGTACAAGGAAGTGCAGGATAAATCTTCAGTTTTGCAGAGGTGAGATGCCTTCATGTGAACCATTTTGTTAAATTAAACAATCAATTTAAGTCACTATATTGCCATTTTTACTCTATTTTTGTATGTAAAAAAATCTACATATATCTTAAGTGTTTCAGATGTGGAGTGGCGTAACTTTTTTTTTTTTTTTTTTTTTTTTTAAGAAAATGAAGTGTTGAATTGGTTGACTCAACTTTATTGAACATCTGTAATTAGGCCATTTCAGAATTATGGAACTGTAAGCCAGGATCAGTAGTTATTGCATTGTTAACTTGGACAATATTTTTACAAAAAATGATCAGTTATGAGTACGGTAATTCTCCAATCTATACGAACGCCGCAATAATTACGAACGAAACGTTTTTTCTCTGAATCTGAATTTTTTGTCTCCGTTCTGTACGAACGATCGCTAAACTCACCTTGGGCACAATTTAAATTTTCCGAACGCAAGAAAGTATGTCCGATTGAAACTCGCCCCATGATTCGTCAAAGCGAGTTTTCAGACCACCGTTCCAAACAAAGGAACTGCCACTTGACAGGAAAGATTGTTATCATGTATTTGTGCTGTTGTTGAATGAGACGGTAGGAGGACTCAACCTGCCCGCCGGCAGCTACAGGCCAGTAGTTTTAAAACCCTATTGTTATTGAGAAATTATTGACAGCATCAGTACGCATTAATTACTCACTGTTTATTATCATTTCTTAACTTCTGCCGGCCGACTGGATCATCAACATCCACCATCAGTGTTTCACCGATAACTGGTTTCTAGTAAAATCTATAAACTTGAAACCCACGCACAACAGAAGAGTATGAGAAATCCATTGTCAATGATCGAGTTTTTCATTTGTTTTTGGTAGTCATCAGGAAATTAATTTTTTAAAGAGGAGTTCTGTCTTGTATTGTATTTATTTTTCTAATTTGAGTTGTGATAAAGTTAATGTAATTTTTTTTTTGTTTGTTTGTTTGTTTGTTTTTCCTTGTTAAAGACCTTGTCTCACGAACAACTATTAGGTAAACCTTACTGATATTAGTGATTGTGAAAAATAAAGGTGCCGTATGACCTTATACAAATTTGCCTGCAGTTTTCTGTATTTTTTCTAATTAAGTTTACATTGATTGCATGCAAATTAATATGCTGTAAAAGACTTTCATAAATAGACTTGAATTGAGCTGATGTTATTTTTTTATATCAAGTATAATATCTATTAAAGTCAGTGATATCTACTGTGAGGAGTTTCAAGTATTTTGTTTTGACGGGAGAAATTTATGTAGGCCTAATGGGGCTGTGACATTATTAATATTGCAAATTTTCTATATGTGAAATCATATTAAAAGTAAACACGCAATAAATAAAATATGCAACTGGATACGAAAATATTCTTGTCTGTTTTTGACAGAAGTTTGGGAAAAACGATGTTGTCCTGTCTTGGTAAAACATAACAGGGAAAAACGATGTTGTCTTGTCTTGGGAGAAATGTACCTCTTTAGTATGAAGAAATTGTTTTTTAACTTGAATTCCCGACTTTTGTTTAGTTTGTTTTAATTCATTGCAATATCGCAAGAATAATTTGTTTGTGCTTTTAGCTAATCACAGTGATTTAATCTGAAAGTTATGCTTACACTTAGCAATGTAGGTAAGTGGAGATAACTTCAGGTACAGCCGTATTCCATCCGTATTTCAATGGATACGAACGCGTGGCAATTTTTAGCAGACTGAATTTCAAGCCTTACGAACAAAATGATTATTTTCCAAAAATAATTAATTTAAATCGTTCGTATAGATTGGAGAATTACCGTATGTATTAAATAAGCCAACCTTCCTCAGTCAAAGGTAAGCCCAGAAACTTAGGGCTTAGTGTGAGACAGATTTCTAAATAAACTGATGGGTTTATTTATTGTAGTTTGCCATCTGGTTGTCAGTCATAATAATATGAATTGAATGTCATGATTTTCTTGAAATTACAAGAATTAGTATAAATACAGCTTGTTGGCCCTTTTATATAAACAGCATTTTGTATTTTTAAATCAAACTGTAACTAATTGAAAATTTTGTTCTGGTTTTCAGTCACTGTTTTTCCTGCCAGACAGAATTCACAGAACATCCCGTGAGTAGAGATTTGTTGAAGGTTAATTATATTTGTAGGTGAAAATTGTTTTTAAAAAAAGAAACAAAGAACACCTGAAGAGCATAGACCTGCTGTAAAAAAGGCAATTGCAGAGACTGTGAAGAGTTACATCTGATTCTACATTTCCTACAAATACTTCTCATCCAAAATTTGATTCGAAAACTGCATACATGTATTTTGTAATCATTTAGATGCTCTCAGTTTGTCTGCCAATAGCTGTATATTTACGTCTGTTAACCTTTCAACAAGTGTAATAGAAGAAAAAACGCATATCCCCTACACCTTGAAGGCAATGCATTCCCAGCCCAAATGGTTCAGTTAAGTTTTAAGAGGGTCTTATTGGGAGGGGGTAATGTTCACAGTTCATGGGAAATAAAATCCTCAATTCTCAAATCACAGAAAATATCATGAAGCAAAAACTGTAATAACACTGTTTCATGAAAAACGAATAATAATAAAAAGCTGCATTCATGAGTCATTTGAATCAGGTCAAGATGTGATGTATACATTTTGTGTAATAATTGCTTATTATATTTTTGACTCCCTACACCACCACCACCCCCCTCCCCCCCCCCCCCCCACCTAAAATTTTTGTGGTAATTGTTATACCACATACCCTCCAGTATATAAAAATTCAACATTCAACAATTAAAAAATGATATTAGATAGGTGTATAAATATTATGCAAAATGTAAGTGTTTTGTCTAATAGTAGCAAATTTATTTAAAAGAGAAAAAAAACTGCTTGTAAAATATCCACACATTAAACAAGGTGCAGGGATAAATTTGAGTGCTTTGGGTGCATTGTTCAGCAATGCATTCATGCATGTTTGTTTATTAGGTGTTGGAATTGTTTAATATGAAAAATAAAATGTAAAAAAATTCTAATGATAAATTACTTCATCTTGTATTTGCAGGTGTATGTCTGTGGACGGTGCCAGAGAGGGTTCTGCATTGACTGCGATGTCTTTATCCATGAAGCTCTCCATTCTTGCCCTGGGTGCTCTGGGTCCCGTCACACACAGGAACGCCAAATCTCAGGGACACTTCTGGCCGGGTTAACAGGGAAATGACCAAAATTGGTCTTCGACACTTGATTGTTGACCTTTTTGTATAAGAGCAATCCTGCAGGCAGTTTTGGCAGGGTAAACAGAGAACTGACCAAAATTGGTCTGAGACACTTGATTGTTGACCTCTTTCTTTGTATAAGTTTGAGCAATCTTAAGGGAAGCTCAGGCAGAGTTAACAGGGGAATGACCAAAATTGGTCTGAGAAACTTGATTGTTGACCTCTTTGTACAAGAGCAATCTCAGAGGAAGTTCTGACAAGGTTAACTGCTCACGTTGGTTGTACAAAGGACATATCTCTGACACTGATCTCTGGACTGGTCAGCAAATAAACAATTGTGTCCAGTCACTCCTTTCATTGTCAACCAGTGTGCTTGCATTTGCTCAGCCAACTGACACCTAGAAAACTTCTGGCAATGGAACAAGTTGTGTCTAAATCTGCTTTGTTGAACTTTTGGCATATGTAATCAATTAATTGACTCCTCGGAAATATTTCAGTTGGCATGGGAATATTCCAAAACATTTCATTATAAGAAACAGTACTATAGATTTGGAAGCCATCACAAAAAAATTATAAATATTCTCTTTGGTGTCAGCTTGACTTGGCATTTTGAATTCATAAGTAGTTGATTGCAACAGACACATTTTCTGCTTGCATCACAAAATGTTCCAATCCTGCTGTCCAAGAGGGAATCTTGATATTCACGTTACCCCCCCCCCCCATAACACATCACTAGTGGGTCAATGGCTAGACATCTGTTGACCATCACTAAAGGCGAAACTCTGGTAATGATTATTGTTATTTTAAGTTGGACCAACAGTGATGTAGCTCAGCCAACGGTTTTAATTCTGTAGACTACCATGAACCCTCTCAATGTCATCAACAGATGGAAAAGTCACACGTTTAATGACTTTTATTGATACAAGTTCACAGTCATTGTTACCTTGCAAAGTTAAATCTGCTGTATATATGTAGGCAACCTTGAACTACTATTGAAGGTCACTAAGTATTATTGTTACGTTTTTCACCCGAAGAAACCAAGGCAGACGACGTTGCTTTTTCTTGCAAATTCACTTTCTGTTTATTGAAACTAAGTAACAGTCAATGACTAGTAAGTAGGTGCTCTAAATCTAAGTCTGAAAACGTCAGTGCTCTGCTAATAGTGATCTAACGCTGCTTTTATACTAATACTGCTACTCTCTCCATAGTCTGAGAGTGCGCCCCTACCGGTATTTATACACCTCTACGGTCACTCTCTGTCCATCTCCAGTTGGCTATTTTCAGCCATGCACTGTTTGACCCCCCCCCCGCGGTCATTTCCAGCCACCTGTAGCTGGTCATTTCCAGCCACCTGTAACTGGCCAATTCCAGCCACCTGTAACTGGTCATTTCCAGCCACTTGTAGCTGGTCATTTCCAGCCACTTGTAGCTGGTCATTTCCAGCCACCTGTAACTGGTCATTTCCAGCCGCATGTAGCTGGTCATTTCCAGCCACCTGTAACTGGTCATTTCTAGCCACCTGTAACTGGTCATTTCCAGCCACCTGAAGCTGGCCATTTCCAGCCACCTGTAGCTGGCCATTTCTAGCCTTGTACTATGTGACTGAGAGTGTACATTTCCAGCCACATCCAGCGTGGAAACCCTCTCACCTGGGCCGCCCACGATATAACGCCCTAGGGGTGCTCTTGGAGTCCTAAGTGGTCGTTTTCGTGCAGCGCACACCGAACACTTCCTTATCCATTCTCTCACAGTTTCTTTCAATGTGTACCAGTAAAATTTCTGTTTTATTTTGCAGGTTGTCTTGTTTACGCCGAGGTGCGCTGACATTACAGAATTATGTGTAGCTTCTAGGACTAAGGACTGGAGACTTTTTGGCACAAGAAGCTGGAAATTAAACCCAGTTCTATCTGCAAACTCCCATCTCTTAACCAACACACCGTGCGTAAGCAACAACTAGTCCCATAGCAACCACATTCTTCTCACAGCAAGGCTCTCGACAGCCACCTGGTCCCTGGGGGGTCTAACGTTGGAGCTTTTCATCCAAGTTATTACAGTCTCGAGATCAGGATCCTCCTGCTGTAACTTTGCAATCTCTGCTGTGCTATAACCTCCTTCCCATTCTACATGAGGCTCACAGTCGGTTGTTGCCTCACCTTCTTGGGATCCGCCCTAGTCTGCAGTTTTCTGGTCTTCAGAATTCGCTGCGAGATCACCCACGTGCATACGCTCCGTTGTCGCGCCCAGCAATTCACGTTGACGATTACTGTCACTGATCCTGAGACGCTTTAGCTTTTCCCGCGCTCCCACTGACTTGAATCTCGCAAGTGAGTCTCTGCACGATTTCACGGCAACATCTACTTTCAATAAACACGCACTTAACAGTTGAGAAATAATCAACAGCACAAACAGAAATCCTAGAAACGGGCTCATTAACTTTGCCGTTAAGTGAGCAACTGTGTCGCTAAGTCTGTCTTTGATGTGAATAATTTCCCTCTCTGATGGTACGTTTTCTCTAACTCTTGCGACGGCTTTTGCAGTCATAGGCACCACGTCATCCACCTGGAAAAACTCGGACCACTTTACACGGCAGTTCACTTAAAACTGTCTGTCCGTCATAACAGGTGCATTCATTCGGCTCACACGGTATTCTCGACAACGTGTCGCAGTTACTGTGATTTTTACCTTTCCTGTGTTGGATTACAAAATCAAAGGGGGCCAATAATTCTAGTCATCTGGCAATTTGATCGTTAGGCTCCTCAAATGACATAAGCCAATACAATGCACTGTGGTCAGTCCGAATCAAGAATTTTCTTCCGAGGAGATAATGCTTAAAATGCTGAACAAACGTTACAATCGCTAAAAGTTCTCTTCTCGTGACACAATAGCGACGGTGTCCTCTTGTCAACGACTTGCTCGCAAAAGCAACAGGCCTCTCCACTTCTTTCTGCGCTTTTTCGTACCACTGAATTTGCGAAAGTGCAGCTCTGATAGAAACATGCGAAGCGGCGGTGTCTAAAATAAAAAGTCCGTCATCACTTGGAAACGCCATTATTTCTTCACCTGTAAGAGAAGATTTCATGTCGTCAAACGATTTCTGACATTCATCGGTCCACTGAAACGCCTGTCCGGCCTCCAACAGTCGATTCATTGGCCCTGCTCTCATTGAAAATCGTGGAATAAAACGGCGGTAATAGGAACACAGTCCTAGAAATCTCCTGACATCAGTAACATTCATAGGTGTCGGCCAGTCTTTTACAACCTCGCACTTTTTTTGGATCGGGTCGCACACCATCACTCGTCACCACATGTCCCAAGAATTCCACTTTAAACTGAAATAATTTGCATTTCTGTGGTTTAAGTTTCATGCCTGCTGCACTCAGGCGGGTAAAAACCTCGTCTAATCTCTCTACATGTTCTTCAAACGTCATACATTTTTGAGTATACTGTGTGTAAAATAGACCAAATATCAGGATAGCCTACGTAATCAACATATTCTTAGACTGGCAGTTCAACCCATTGGCGACTCCATAATTGGTCCTGCGTTAGCTAGCTGGCGACGCATCGCTTTAACTTCGTGAATAATCTGCCACCAGATGTTTGGAACGGAATCGCATCAGATGCTGGCACTTCATAAGTATCTATTGCTACATTTATACATGCATTTTCATAGTTTCCAGTTCTAATATAGTCAGTGCGAATGTAAACGTGCCACGCGAATTACTTAGCTGTGCAAAACGCTCTTCTAACGGCAAATATTGGCCCATATCTTTGCTATCTTGCGCGTGTACCGTTTGGCTTTTTTAAACGGCGCGCTCTCGGGCACGTTGTTCTCAACCTTGTCCAACACTGGACTCTTCTCTTCTATGCACCTTGCAACCTCGATGTAAAGTTGACGCAGAGCAGAAATTTGATCTTCCACGTGTGTAATGCCCTCTGTATCTTTAAAAGGGCGCGCTGAGACCGCAGGCTGCAGTATAACATGGCCAGGACCGTTTGCGAGGGGAGCCGTTCTTTGCTCAGTCCCGCTGGTGCAGGAGGCTACGGGGGCCGCTCTCCGCGGTCGGTTGCCAAACAAAATGGACGAGCATATGGGAAGCTCATTTTGTGGGGTAGTTGCGGGAAGGTCGCCATGAAGTGCGTCCCGATTGAGGGAAAACAGTATTTGTGCCGGAGTGGTCATGATCTTTTGTATCTCTTCATTTGACAGAGTTAACCCCTGTGTGTTGCCAAGGGCGTTCTCCTCGAAGGTATTTTCGTCAATATCCAGCGAAAGGCACAAATTGACAAAAACTTGATGAATGCGTTGGTAGAGAGCTCGCAGTTGGGCTCGGCGGATGTGTTCCTCGGCGTGAAGGTGCAAGGGCCCAGCATCTTTCTCGCAAGATTCCAGTTCAGCCAGAGTCGCCAGTACGTCTTTGGCCCTATTTATAAATACATTACCGTTCAGAAGCAAAGGGACAGTTTCCTTTTGGCCTGAGCACACCGCAGATTTCTCGATTTCACTATGGAGTCGGACAGTTCTGGCTAGTAGTTGAAGATTCTCCATTTCTTTCCAGACTATGGAAAAGCTCTGAAGAAGATAGTTTATGCTAGACGACTTTTGGATTTTCTGGCTCTGGACGAAGATAGCACACATATGTCTAATTCTTTTCTTCTTCCATTTTGCCACCATCTCCGCCATGTGTTAAATCGTACGAATTTAAGGCCATGTAATGTAGACATACTAGGCGTAGCCTGTAGTTCCTTATGATATAAAAAAAAATCGTACGGACAATTTCATCGCACGGCGCCCGTGTAAATGTAATCTAGGCTTTAGGATAATAGAGGATGGCACTGTTCGTATACCAGCTCCTCAACCTCTATCAGGAGATGACAAGCTGATGCCACTTTTTTCCTTATAATTATTGGCGACGATGCATTTCTCCTCCCTACCTGCATGGATAATGAATCCTTTCAAACGTCGCAATCTATCCGAAGAAGAGAGAGGTTTTTCCACTGTAGGTCTTGTCACTGAAAGCTAGTTCTTTAAAATGGCTTTGGTTTTTTGCTTACAGATTCAGTAGCCTCCTGACAAGGCTTTTGCCGCACTCATATACCGCTAATTTATCATTTTGAGGGCTGTTTGTTTGCATATTCTAATCGATACCATGGCCTTCAAAACTGAGCATTAGAAAGTGAAACAAAAAACCATTATGAACTCATCCCTGGAAGTTGGCAGGATATGAGAACATTAAAGGATGTGGTAAATGTGTCAACTTCGTTCACTGCGTCTAGGAAGGGAAAAAACAACAGAAGGTGTATCTCAAACATTAATATACAGGCCCGAAGCCAGCAATTTCGAAAGGGGGTTCTTTTTTCCGAAAAAGTGGACCCTTTTATATTGACTGGGTTCCCACAGATTAATATCGATCCATCTGGATCGACCTAACTCCCTGGGGGTTCACGCTAAATTGCTGTCAGCTTCCGGGGGCCGAGCGCGCACAAAAGTTAATTACCCCCTTACAGCTTTCAGTAGGGGGACAGACATTTAAGCCGGTTAAGCTGACAGCAATCTAGTGAGACTCCCCAGGGGGATAGATCGATCTAAATATCTGTGGGAATGGTCTCATTGAAACCTTTGTGTACCTAGATCAAATACTACACAGAATGGACCTTTTCTTGACAAAAAGGGTGGTTCTTTCGTACCCCCTCCCCCCCCCCCTTCCGGGCTACGGGGCTGCTATACAACGATTGGATCCGTTTCATGGCAGCTTCAACTGATCTTATCTTTTGAAATTAAAAGTAAGATTCTGTTTTGATTACTGACATATATGTCTTCATCATATATGAATTTTCAACATAAATATCATATATAACGTTGATTTGTTATGTAGTACCATCTTTGCCAAATCTACAATAATTAAAACAAATATATCTATAGCGATATATTGACAATAGTATAAAACCAGTGGTGTGATAAAAAACATATATTTGAATAAATATTATAATACCCCTGAATATTTTCTTGTTTGAATAGGGGAACCCGGGGCTAGTTGAACCCCATCAATTTATGACAAAGTAACTATAGGGTTAAAGAATTGATCACATCATTTTGTAAAGTGGCCGTATCCAATAGTGCTAAGAAATCGTCGGCAGTGAGTCCAAATGATATAATTTAGTATCTTAAAGTAACTTTATTAAAGAGACTTGATGGGGGGCCAACTTTTCCCGGGGTCCAACTAGCCCCGGTCTCCCCTACTTATCTCTTCGAGGTCTCAAGACCTTTGCGTTTACGGTCACACTGAACAAAAAAAAAAAGCTATTTGTAACTTGCAAGTGTCCAAAACCCTGCAATGTGGTTACCAAAGAACGCCGGTCGCTCCGGTTTTCGGTGCAGCGCCGATAGCCTCCTGACGACCGAAAAACCTGTTCATGTCTCCTCATTAACCCAGGCTAAAGGATAAGTAATAATGGACAAACAAAAATATGCTGTTCGACATTGGCCGATAGCAGACGCTTTATTAAAAGGTCCCTCTAGTAAAGAATAGTGTTAGTTAGCATTAAATAATGTTAAATTAATTAAAATTACATAATGTTATAGCATAAAAATACATATCAAAACAAATAATGCATAAATTTCTGGTTGCTAACATGTCTCCGACTGCTTTGCAACTGTTTTGCAACCGTTGTGTGGTTTTCCTTTTGTCTTATGATCCCCAGACGTTTACCACATCCAAGGTAATTAAATCGGTAGGTCGGTCGTGCGCACTGTGTACTTTTTGCACTTTCATCCTTGTGGTGAGGATAGCAAGTACTTGAAGACTGTTAAATTACTAAAACTATCTTTATTTAAGATTCTTGGACATACGATCTGTTACAATATTTTTATATAATTTGAATGGTTGAAATATGATAATAAATAGGAATTATACATTGCTGATTAAATTATTTCTATTTTTCGTTTTCTCTGCATCCGTGTATTTGTTTACTGAGATAAAATGGCGTTGCAAATTTTAATTGGCGTACAGCGATGAAACATTGAGGGTGTCGGCATATTTACCCATGGTTTCTGCAAAATGATAATTATATAACGTAGTGTCAAAAATTCGCCCTTTGGCACATTACCTCATATCAATTTTTGGCGAAATGTTGTCAATTTTCTTTCAGTAGCTTGAATCTACTTTTCACAAGATAGCACCACCCTTCGGGTCGCTTGTCGCGGTGTTGTTGGGAACTCCATATTTCAATTGAAACCGATTTCAACCGCAGTGACAACCATACCTTATTTACATTGCTTAATTACATCTATCCATTGGCGAAAATCGCCAGAGGTTCTTAAAGCCATAACACAACGACTTAACGCAAGCGAAGTGGGGAAGTTGTATGTAAGGAAGAGTGTGTGTGTGTGTGTGTGTGTGTGTGTGTGTGTGTGT